AAGGAAATAAATAAGAAAAGAGGGAGCTTGTGAATTTTTAACCAAAATAATATAAAAAAAAAATAAAAATACTGAAATAGACCTGTCCCAAAAATATTTACGAAAGTAGACCCATTTACTGTTTACGTACAGAATTCGACTCCCCGAAAGCCGAATTCTGGTCAGTAGAGCTGTGGCGAAAAAAATCGACTTCTGAGAGCGGTTAAATACGAACCGCTCTCCAAAAAGACTTCTGAGAGCGGTTCAATAAGAATCGCTCTCCAAAGTCGACTTATGAGAGCGGTTAAATAAGAACCGCTCTCCAAAAAGACTTCTAAGAGCGGTTATATACGAACCGCTCTCAGAATTCGACTTTGGAGAGCGGTTCTTGTTTAACCGCTCTTAGAAGTCGTTTTTGGAGAGCGGTTCTAGTTTAACCGCTCTTAGAAGTCGTTTTGGGAGAGCGGTTCTAATTTAACCGCTTTCAGAAGTCGCCTTTCTCGCCACCCATTTAACGACCAGAATTCGGCTTTCGGGTAGTCGAATTCTATACGTCTACTTTGGTAATATGATAATATTATTTTGAATAATTTTTTTTTTATTTATCTCAATCACCCATTTTAATATTTATTTACCTAACTAATAATATTTTTCTCAACATGTTTTTATTTATTTAATTAATATATATATTAATATAAAAGTTATTAATAAATTAAATAATAAAATTATATTTAATGAAAATAAAATATTAAATTTTTTAAAAATTAATAAATTAGTTTGTAAAATGATATTAATAAAAATAAAATAATTTGATTTATGATAATATCTTTGTTTTTTAATTTATTGTATGCAAAATTAATTAAATGAAATCATTAAGATTATTTTTGTTAGATAATATGAAATGAATTTATAGATAAAAAATTAAATAAAAGAAGATAAACAGCAACTAAATGAAACTTTCATAATTAAAATAAAATGAAACAGACATGGAAATAGAAAAGAAAATACAAAATACACATTTAATTGGTTAAAAATTAAAAAAGATCTTCTATTGCATATTTTTTCTCTCCATGATGGTCAATATACTTACTGTCATGCCTTATGAAGGAGTCACGTTCACCTCATCATCAGCTAAATTGGTACATCTAAAGAGAGGAGTGACTCTACAAAGGCTCAAGAAAATCATCCACACAAAATTCAACTGAGACGAAAATGAAAGGGTGACAACCATACATTTTTGCTACCCAATTAGACTTGGCCCAGGAGTTAGTAACTACACATGTGTTGAGTTAAATGATGATGAAGACGTTGAAGCACTGTTCAACATCCACGATTCAAATCAACTTCAATCAGGTATAGAATTATATGTTACATTTGCTACAAACGAAACACAGCCACCACAACTTTTGCCTTCATCTTCACCTTACCAAACTTACGAAACCATAAATCCATCTTTTTCAACATATGATATGAATTCCGACCTTCGGTCCTACACACAACTTTTAACTGGTCAATTCATGGACCTTAATGAAATACCCTCACAACCATTTGAGCAAACCCAACCCTCTCAGCCTCTTGAAGAAACTCCCATTGAAGAACATGCTGTTGTGGGTCTCCCAAACGAAGTATTTGATCCTTTCAGCGAGGACGAAGATGAAATCCTATCTCAACAGCAGGATGATGAAGAAGACTCCCTCCCACTTCCAAATATTCCACCATCACAACCATTACCATTATACAACATACCTCCACATTTTTTAGACTTTTCCAGTCAAATACAAGAACATGACTCTGAGTTTGGCCATGTACTTGAACGTGAAATGGTAGTGTATCCACCTGGAACACTATTTGTTGGCCAGCGCTTCCTAACAAAAGAACAAGTGCAAGATGCCATAAATAGATTTCACATTGTCAATCATTGCACTTACAAGGTGAAGATGTCAAGCACAACTAGGCTTGTCGTGGAATGCGTTCACAACGACTGTTCTTGGAGATGTCGTGCAATATTGCGCACCAAAGAGCAACACTGGGAAATAATGAAGCTTGACGGGTGCCACACATGTGCTTCCCCACTCATTTCACAGGATCATAACAACTTGGGATCACGAATGATTTCTCATGGGATTCGTGAAATAATACAGAGTGATCCATCCACACCCATCACAACAATCTTAGCCCACATAAAGTCCACAATGGGTTACACAATCAGCTATAGGAAGGGATGGTTAGCGAAACAACATGCCATTGAAAATATCTTCAGAAATTGGGAGGAGTCATACCATAAGTTACCTAGACAGTTGCTTGCAATGCAACTGTATATTCCAGGCTTCATCTGGAAATTGAGTACACAACTAGCATACAAGGGTGGCTTGCTTTACGAGGGGAATGTGTTCTTCAAGAGGTTATTTTGGACCTTCAAGCCATGCATTGATGGTTTTGCCTTCTGCAAACCAATTGTTCAAGTGGATGGAACATTTTTGTATGGAAAATACGAAGGGACTTTATTAGTGGCAGTTGCGCAAGACGGCCGCAACAACGTAATCCCCATTGCCTTTGCTGTGGTAGAAGGTGAAACTAGCGATGCATGGTTCTTTTTTTGAAAAACTTAAGGAGGTACGTAACTCCGCAAGAGGGGTTGTGCCTCATTTCGGATCGTCACGAGGCCATAAGAAGTGCATACTCCAAAAATGGAAGTGGTTGGACAGAAAACAATTCTGTCTATGTCTATTGCATTAGACATATTGCACAAAACTTCATGCGACGATTCAAAAACGCTGCACTGAAGAAAGATGTCATCAATATGGGTAATTTTAATTTTTTACGTACTTTATATTCTTATTAATATTTTATACAATTGCTTAGCTAGTTATATTAATTTTTTTTGTAATCTTGTTTCCAGCATATGGGATGACTGAACCGAGATTCTTTTACTATTACAACATAGTAAAAGATAATAATCTTGAAGCTGCACAATGGTTGGACAACATCCCAAGGGAAAAATGGACACTGGCATGGGACATTGGACGACGTTGGGGACACATGACAACAAACCTAGCGGAGTCAATCAATTCGGTCTTGAAGAAAACCAGAAACTTGCCAATTTGCTCCATGGTCCTGGCAACATACACCCGTTGCAATAAGTTCTTCATTGACAGAGGCAGAGAAGTAAATGCAATGATTAATGCTGGACATATGTACTCGGAGGTTGCAACTAAAGCAATTCAAGATGCACAGTCAAACGCAAACACTCATAGAGTCATCACCTTCGACAGAACAAGCACTAGATTTTTAGTCGAAGAAATGCAACATCCGACAGAAATTCGACCCGTAGGAAGATTTACAGTACGGTTAGATGAAATGTGGTGTGATTGTGACAAGTTTCAAAAAGTTCACATCCCATGCTCGCATGTACTTGCTTCATGCTTATACGCACACCACAACTTTGACATATACATATCTCCCGTGTATACCTTACAACAAGTTTCTAAGGTATACGAAGGTCAGTTTGGAGAACTCAGACATGAAGACTATTGGCCAACTTACATGGGCCCAACTTTGTGTCCAAATCCAGAACTGAAAAGAACTTCAAAGGGTCGATCCAAGTCTAGTAGGATAAGGACAGAGATGGACATTAGAGAACAACAAAGTCGGCAAAAAAATTGTTCTTATTGTCACACTCCTGGTCACACAAGGAAGACATGTCCAAACATTACTCAAGCTTCTACTTCCCGTCATTGATTTATGTTGTTGTTATTACTTTAAAATTTTCTTCATATAATTTTTAATTTTATGAATGTCATTGTCACTTATAAATTTTAGTATTAGTAATTTATATTAAATATATTATTATTTAATATATATATATCTACATAATATTATTTAATAATGTTTATTAATATTAATAAAATATTTTTTAAATAAATAATTATGTATAAATTTTAATAAAGATTAATATCTCAAATTAAATAAATAATCTTATTATTATTTAATGCTTTTATTTATTTTATAAAAATATAAAATTAAATAAATTATTATTGTAATTTTTATCAAATACAAATTTAAAATTATTCAATTATTATTATAATTTTTATTTTTTTAATATTATTTTTGTAAAAATCTCACCAAATTCCATACATAATTTGCATTTTTGTTTTTATATATAATAAAAAAATATTATCTAATATTTATGTTTATATAATAATTATATATTGTCAAATTTAATAATAAAAATAGTTTTAAATAATAAAATAAAATTTATTATTTCAATTATATTTTTATTTTTATATTGTGTGAAAATAAATATTTATATTATGTTAATTTGTGTGACAAATACATTCCCTCAATTTTCTATGCTACGTGTTCACTTCTGAGAGCGGTTCAAAACGAACCGCTCTTCAAGTTTGACTACTGAGAGCGGTTGGTTTTGAACCGCTCTCCAAATTCTCGAGGTCAAAGCCTGTAAGACTTTGGAGAGCAGTTTGTTTTTAACCGCTCTCCTAAGTCGACTTTGGAGAGCGGTTCATTTTCAACTGCTCTCATATGTCTACTTTGGAGAGCGGTTCATTTGTAACCGCTCTCATATGTCGAATTTGGAGAGCGGTTTGTTTTCAACCGCTCTCAGAAGTCGACTTTGAAGAGCGGTTTTTTTTTCAACCGCTCTCAGAAGTCGATTTTCTCCGAGCACATTTGAAGCAATTTACAAAATCAGGGGACGCATTTGTCACACACATTAACATAATATAAATATATAAACATAAATATTAGATAATATTTTTTTATTATATACAAGAACATAAATGCAAATTATGTATGGAATTCGGTTGCCCCAAAACCGAATTCCATTTGGAAATCAACTGTACGGATACAAATTTGAAGGCCAGAATTCGATTTTTGGGAAGTCGAATTCTGTACGTAACAGTAAATGGGTCTACTTTCATAAATATTTTTGGGACAGGTCTATTTCAGTATTTTTTTTTTTTATATTATTTTGGTTAAAAATTCGGAGCTTGTAAGCTTAAAATATGGATAAAAGGAGAAGAGAGAGAGAGAGGGGAAGGGAAGGGACGGTGGGTGTTGAGAAAGAGAGGGGAATAGGATGGGAAAGAGGAAGTATTACTGCGACTACTGCGACAAGCAATTCCAAGACACAGCTGCGGATCGGAAACGACACGTTCGTGGAATTCAACACCAGCAAGCCAAAGCTCGCTGGTACGATTCCTTCAAACAACAAAACCCTATTTTTCCTAATTCTAAACAGCCCCTTTGCATTCACTTCCTCAACACGGTACGTCTCATTTTTCAACTCCCATTCCCCTGTCATCCATTTTCATTATTAATGCCATTCACTCTTTCTCTCTCTGTTTAGGGCTTTTGCCGTTACGGAGAGTCTTGCAAATATCTTCATCCCCAAATCATAAGCACAGCACCATCTCCATCTCCATCTCCAGGTCAATTCCTTCTCTCTCTATCATCCACTGCAGGGATAGAAAATCTTCCCCCTTCGTTGCAGCCTCCTCCTGAGGCTGGATATCCCCATCTTCCTTTTCTCGACTGGGGATTCAATTAGACATCATTTTTCCTTTCGGAACTTCAATCCTCTATAAAATTACCTTTCGATTACCCTATTTAGCTCAAGACGCCATTACCTTGCTTTTATGAGTCTGTATATATTCATCCGAGTTGTCCTTTTTGGATTTATTATGTTTATGCAGCTTGTTTTTCATACTTAACGGTCACAGACTCAGTTATGTTAAATAGTATTAGAATCTTTTTTTTATTATCGGATTTTAACTAAGATATTGAAATCTTTGAATAAAATACAAGTCCATCCCAGCAAAATCCATCCATTGCGGATCTGAATTATCTACACTTTCATTAAAGCTGTATATATGCTATAATTTGACCCTGAAGAGTGTTTTGCTATATATAAAAGAAAGCTTATAAAAACAACAAAAAAACTGTATAAATCATTTGGATTTAGAACTGCTTTTCATACAACTATTTGGGAATATGACAAAAACAAAGGGGCAAAATTGTAACCTGGCATAAGGATAAGATGGGGACACTCCACATATGAAACTTCTAAATAGTGGCCAGGGTGGTCTATTGATTATTTATTCAGGTTATGGTGGATTTTAGATAGCTCTAAGTCAATTTGGTGCTTGATTGGTTCACCATTTGACTGCTCCAAATCAATTTCCAAAATAAAATCAACGATGCCAGTGATTAGTGCATGCTTTACAAAGCATGGTAAGTGGTAGTGATTTATATTCCTTTTTCAAGAATGAAGTTTGCTGAAACTCAAACGTTAAAACAGTCAGGCCTTTTGAGTTATTCTCGTCATGTATAATGATCGAGTGTTTAGCCATAGAATATGACATACGTTAACAAGGTCATGTTTGACTCATCAAATGTGCTTTTCAAATTTCAATTCATTTTTCCTTTTCTTAAAATGGACTGTAATTGTAGACCAGAAAAAGTTATTGTGAAATTATGAAATTCTCTTTCGAAACAAAAATGTGAGACTATCAGTTAACGTTGAGTAACTTCATAAACTTAAACCTTTAATAACATTTTGTGAATGTTAAATTATATCAATCTAATTAACGCAATGATAAAAATTCGTACAACTTGCAATCAACCGATATTTCTTTGTACTATTTTATTTTAATATATTTTATATTATTCAAAATATACTGAAGGATAATGAACAATCTGTATTTTTAATCAACATTCTAAGTTAAACGTTGGTTAAATAATACATTTACCCTTAATTATTTCGCATAACCTCAATACACTGTCAGGGCAAACCTACCCAAGAGCTTCCCAAACGGTGTGAAAACAGTTGGTGATCTGAATGATAAAACTCAACAGTGAGTGTTCTTATAGCTTCACGAGTCTATTGAGCATCTACCTGAGAAAACGCACTGAATTATTAGTTCAGTTTTAACTGGACACGCATATCGGATACAATTCATTCCAGAAGCAAGTTACAATTAAAAAGGAGAATGAACATTTATTCACAAGGTAACACTGAAGATATCAAATTGTCTTGACAATTTGCTGAAACCTTTAATCAGAAACATTTACCGATGAAAAAGCAAACGCCACTACAACATATGCCGTTTTCAATAAACTGTTTCCATTTCAAAACAATATCTTATTATTATAATTTATAACATCTCATTGAAGGTACACTCGTCCACTTTCATAAGCATGGCAACACCAGAAACATTACATAAGCCAGGTGTCACTAACATATTGAAGCAAGAGCCTCTAACAAGGAAGCAGCAAATTGCATTTGGATGTCTTCATCGATTGTTGAGAATAGTGGCACGTGCACAAAAAGGGATTTCATCCCATTTTGCTCAGCAAAACGAAGGGAATGATAGTAAACATAATTGCACACAAACCTGCCCGCATCATCAGATGTCATTACATCATAACCCTTCTTTGCCAAGGCCTTTGTGATCTCTTCCACAGGAACGTTAGTCTGCATAAAGTTAGACCATAGAAAACAAAATCATATGATGATAATACAAAATCTATGGACTTATATATGCTTCCACAAAGAGGCACAGACTAATACAAAAATATAATAAAGTTAACCCTAAACTTTGAAGTTTTGACAAACAATAAACATTAAGTTTCTAGAAGTCATTGCCTCAAAAGACAATTGAAAAGCCTGCTGCAAATGATATTGACCATGGTGTATGCTGCATCTTCAGGCTATCAAAACAACTAAACAAATAGGGGCAGCTGAAAATACTTGCAAGGTAGAAATGAAAGATCTTCTATATGAAAATAAACCTTAACATTACTATATTAGGACTAACAGTCTAACACCAAGTCAAATAGTAAGCATTAGGTTAGGAATTAAAGTGCAAGGAAAATTAGTTATCCAATTTACCTCGCGTATTCGTGTAATTGCACCATCTGAATGAACAATAGGGACTTTCTGCAACATACAAATTTTGAAAATTTCAGTAAAGGAAAACAGCGTTATTCAAGACAAGTTTTGATGAAAGCAAGTTTATAATGCTCCATCCACTGATCCAATCTAACCTGGGGCTTCCATCCCATTTCATCAGGGCAGCGGAAGGTAGCCTCATTGACAGCTTGACGCTCTACAGCAAACCTTGTTGCACCACTGTTAACCCCAAAATGCAGCTAAATAAAACATAATCAGAAACAGCCACTAGGTAAGATTTATGGATGTAGAAAGGAAATATAATCAAATGACTACATATACAAGATAGCTGAATCAACCAAGCAGAAATACTTGTCAACTAGGCACCTTCTCACCATTCTTTCCACGGGTTTCTTATGCCTCAGGCATGATCTTAAGACTGTTCATCTTTCACTGCTATCCTTTTTAGTTTAGCCTTAGCTACTAAGAAAAGAAAGTCCAATAGATTTTTCATGTTAGTTCTATACTAAATTTTTTTAAAGAAGTTTTAGTTCAAAGTCCAGTGATCTATAATCATTGTTAACCCTCAATTGTAAGATCATATCTTAACTCCAGCTGCTTTAAATATTAAGACATCAATTATTGCATAATAGCTTTTAATGAGAAGACAAGAAATATGATTGAATAGTCTTGGATTGCACTGTCTACCATGTTAATGATATCCTCATTTTTTTTTATTTGTGAGCAATTCACCTGGAAGTTCATGGAGAGGTATAAATTTCGATCTATTTACATAAATGATAACTTCCGAAAAATTGAGCATAAGCTTTGAACCTACACATCAAAGTATGTATATGGGCAACTCACCCAGACAATTCTGTTGGAACTTGAAGATTCAGATTCCTTGGAAGTAGTGGCAAATTGCAATGTTTGGTACATAGGAACAAGTGCTCCTTGACCGGCAGTCTCAAGAATTCTGCAACTCCCAATAACTAAACCTTTTGGCAAACCCCTCTTCTTCATATACTCCATCAAATTATTGACTATTGTCTCCGTTGGATTCTCTGAAACCCCATGGAATTTCTTGAAACCTGTTACATGAACTGTTGTTACAGCTGCTGGAGGACCTTCAGACCCCATCTGCCGATGATGGTCTGTTAATATTCAGAGCTTCAACAAGAAAAAATATCCTCAATACCTGCATCAAATGATGAGAAAATTTGAGCATAAAAGGGCACAAAAATTGAACTGTTTTCCCAAATGCCTTCTGAATATACACACTGAGACCCCTATCATTCAGAAGAGACATCACTCAAACTTAGTCAACCAAAAATTATACTCCATCAAATTGTAAGGCTCTACAAGGAAAGCAAATTAGAGAAGGTAAAAAGTGCACCCATTTCACTGAAAAACCCAAAAAAGTTGCCAATTTGTCAAGCCTAATCATCCCAATAAGGAGCAAAATTGGGTCTTGACGTACAAGAAAATCTAAGATTTCAAGAACAATAGAAGAAACCTGAATTTCATGATTGACTCAAAGAAGGATAATTGAATGTCAAAACAAGGACAGACACACACATCTACGGGTTTTCTAAGATGTTACGGAGAAAAGTAGTCTCTTGATGACTGAGGAGAGGCACAACACATGGGTTATAGTTATTGCTGAATTGTAGACACCAAACAAAGAAACCTTAAATTAAACCCAAACATGAAACGACGACGCCATCAAAACAAAAGATGATGATCACACAGCCAAATGATCAGAGACCCACCAAGAAACAGAAAAGAACGTAATTAAGATTAAAGGTGTTCTGAGAATTAAGAAGGAAAGAAAGAAAGTGAATTTAGAGAGGGAGAGTTTTCCTTACCAGAAATAATAACAATATTCAACCTTCAATAAAAGAGATGACACATCCACTAGTCTTATCTACTCAAAGCTGATTAACTGATGAAGATTCCGATTAGATTTAGAAAAAAGAGAGAGAAGGGAACATAATATATAATTAACAAATACTATAGACATATCAAAATAATAGAAGAGGAAGGTACATGGAAGTCACTTTCAAACAACAAAGCATACAGGCGTAAAGGATTGTTACTCATATCATATCAACTTATCTGTTACTCTATTTTTCTAATAATAGTTATTCAATGTTTTCTTCTTTATCAAAATCAGGCATTTAATAAAAACTGGACCCCCAGAACCTTATACTGTTACGCCTTAAGGGGTTCCATATCTACCCAATCTATCAAAAAGGGAAACACAGCGCAACGTGTGTGTGTGTGTATATATATACACACACACAAATCAGTACGAAAAATGTGTTTGGATGGGTATTTCAAAATACTAGCTTATATGAATTTAAATAGTAAGAACAAGTCAGGTCCACTATTTTAAAATTTTAACTAAATTATTTTTATATTAAATTAACGAAATATTAAATGACATGTCTTTAAAAAGAATTAAAAAATTCATCTATTATGCTTAATATTTTATAATTATTATTTATAACTTCTATATTTAACTCTCACTTTAATTATTCTTTATTATTGATTTTATATTCTTTATAATTCAATAATTCTATAAAATATTTTTTATGACAGTTTTTATTCATTTATACTCATTTAAAATCGTTTTTATCGTACACGAAGATAAAATTTCTTTCTTTTTTCGACACATATATTATTACATCCACAATTAATTTGAAAATTCATTTTAAAATTAAATTTATAATTTAATATAATTTTATGAAATTTCATCAATTTGTATTCTACATATTTTATAATTAAATTTAATTTGTAATTAACTTATTTTAATGAAATTAAATTTCAATAAAAATGAAAAATAATCTAATTCAAAAAAATTTATATTTAATTGAATTGAATTGAATCAAGTCCTGTATATTCCACTAGAGTTAGTTCTGTCGAAGGTTAAATCTTTTAGTTTAATTTTTCTTGAAAAACAACACATGGTTTTTTTAATTTCTATTATTTTAAAATTTTGATTTTAATTCTTATTAATCAATTGTGTATATCTTTTTTTTATAATTTTAAATATTCGTTAAAGTTATTCCTTTTAATTCTATTAGGACTGGTTATACATATTGTTTATAAGTTTCCATATTTTAAAATATTTGTTTTTTATTTTTATATTTTACATGAATTAAGAACAAAAATACTTATAACATTTCATAGCAAAGTTGTTAATTCAAATTAAATCAATCAACTTCGGTATATTAAGCTTGAGTACTATTTTTTTTTTTTTTTGGTCAAGAGGACTTATAGCTATTTCGTTGTTAGTTAAGTCACTTTATTATTGTTAAGTATCTCATCTTATTTCCTATATTTTTTATTTTTAAAATACTATTACTTAAATTAAATTAATATAAATTTAACAATTTGGCATAGCACATCACATTAATAAATTAACATATAAACAACGTGTCTTGATTTAAATATTTTTTTATTTAAAAATATTTTATTTCTTCAATTAATTATTTAATCTCATCATTATCACGAAATACATTTTATATTAATTTTTTTACTTTAACTAAGATGCATCATGTCACACTAATTTAATAATAATGATATATTTTTATGTCTTATATATTTTATTTTAAACTTGCACTTAAACTTAAAATGATCTGTTCAATGGATGGAAAGTGTATTAGGTGTATAATTATATATAATAAACAATGATTAGATTAGGATTAGATGGTTGATTTTTGGTATTATTCAAAACCAATTCACACATAAGCCAAAGAGCCATTACGCCGCCCATATAATAATTGTTGGTTCATCGCTCATTCTCCTTCGTCATATATTAAAGTATTGAAAAAGTGGAAAAAACAGAGACAAATCAAAGCAAGTGAGGATTCCTTTATTCCCTTTCTTCTTTATAATATTTCAAAGGAGGACGCCATGCCCCTCATCACTCAATTCAGCGTAAGAATATTAAAAGGTTTACTTTTAAATATTTTTAAATTAATAACAAACTCTTTTTTTTCCCTTTGCAATAAAAAAGTATCCCCTAATTGAGTGATTCTCGCGTCTTTCCTCACTAACACACCATTCAACTTTTTTTGTTCATCACATAATATTAGTTTACCAGTCCCCGCTACCTTTTCATGTTCGTTCACCATTATTATTACATCGCTTTGTTTTATGCTACGAAAATATTCTCTGTTTTAAAATCTAAATAAATCAATAACTTCAATGATAATTTAGAGTATAATTACATATTATTTATTAACATAAAATATAAATTTCAACTCAAAAGTTACACTATTACTTGTTACGAGTGTGAGAAACCTAAGAAATCAAGCACGTGATTTTGTTAAATAAAAATGACCATTTGTCAAATTTTTATTATTTTAAACGTAAACATTATTACTCTTTTTCATAATATAACAAAGTATCTAACAAGATTAATTCTTAATTTAGTGTTAACTTAATTTTATTAAACCCATTAAAAATGGTAGTAACGCAGTTTTTAAGAGACTTAATCTACATTCATGATTAAATATTTTTAAGTTCAAATTTAGGTTTTTTTTATCATCTAAATTAATGTGAATAAGATACCTAATAAATTTACAAACATTAAAAATGGTAAAGATTGAATCGAACAATCAAATATGAAGAGATTTTTAAAATAATATCATCATTAATCTTAATCAGGCTACTTTCAATCCCTAGAGCTAGCTAAGAGACTACTCGGGTATGTTCAAGCTATAATCATTAAAAGTGAATCAGAACATCATGAATATAACAAGAAAAATGATGGAACTTGAAACTCCACTCCCAAGAATTTGGTGCTCCTGCCAAAGCCGCAGCTTCTGGCGACAAAAGTTAAGAATTTTTGCTTTACATTCTAGAGAACAATATTGCTCAAAACTGACCCTCCCCTCAATTTGGGTTTAAAGATTTGCACACCCCAGTACACTTCGGAGTTGGAAAAAGAATTCCGATCAGGTTGTAGATCTTGCTATTTTATGCTTTTTGTGATCAAATCACATTCAAATTAGTATTTACACTTCCCATGCTTGTAGCTCTTTATGTTTCTAAGGTTTCAATGCCAAATTCTCAGCCACGATCATGATAAAATACTAGAAGTAGTTAAGCAAACTAAAAACGATGCCATTAACACTGAATTATAGCACAATTCAGATTGTGCGGGAGTGTCATCATCATCGTTTTGTGTTTGTGTGTGATACTAGCTCAATTAATGTCAGTGTTTTGTTTTAATTGGAGTTTTTTAAATTATTTTAACGATGAAAACTGAAGTTAAAAAAAAAGGATTAAATAAAATATGATAAAAATATACGGACAATCCTTAAGATTGAGATAGTCCATGTTTTTATTGTAATTTACACTACTTAAATCTTAGTTTGCAGACTGTTAAATTTTACTTATAAATAATATGTTTAATAAAATATAATTGAATTATATTTCAAAGCAAAAAAATTGAATTATATATGAATCTTGACCCAGAAAAAACTTAACAAAATTTATTAAAAATATAAAAATAAATATCACATAATTTTAATTTTAATTGAAGTTAATAGCATCGTATGAGTATGACTTCATTTATAAAGATAAAATTTGATTATTGTTGATATATATTTAAAAATGATTTTAAGTTTCAAACCATAATTTTTTTAACAAAATCATGATTATTTATTTTTGGTCATAGAACTACAAAATATAAAATTTTCCATACATTAAATGAAATAATAATTTTGTGCACTGAGCCCAATCAGATTAGGCCATACCAATGAACCCAATCTGATTTGGCATGACGAAAACTCACCTAAAATTTACAATACATGTAACTATTTGTCGTTTGTTGCATGTGCTATATTTTACAATTTAGGCACGAGGGTTACTATAATATAATATTATAATTTTGTTTGGGGTGAAACTATAGATAAGTAAGAGAAAAAAATAATATACAAAATAAATAAATTCTGTTTATAAGTTAAAATTTATTTTTTAAAAGTTATTCTTATTTTATTTTTCTAAAACTAACTAAATTATTTATTCTTTATATTATTTATAAGAACTTATCCACAAACTCATCTGAAAAAAGACTTATTTTATTTTGTTTTATTTAATTTAAGTAACTATTCTCTAATAATGTAAATTTATACATATAAAAAATGCTACATTTACAATCATTTTTTATAACACTTTTTATAATTTATTTATTTTTTTATCTTTTTCTGTCATTTCAGTCATTTTATCTCACACTTTTAATTTTTTTTTATTTTAATTTCTCTTAAATTTTTATTTCAGTCATTTTATGAGATAATAAATGTATCCTTTCAAAAATATCTATCATAAAAAGCCGATACTTCAAAAACTGATAAAATAAGCATCTCCAACCATATTATTCGTCCCAAAAAATGAATAATTTAAATTTTAAACTTAAATTAAATATGGATCTTTTTAGATTAATTTGATCAAGTCCAGTACAAGTGAACTTAGAAAACTTTAAAAAAAAACTTTAGTTATTTTGAATATTATTTTTGAGCCCAAATTAAATTCATTTGTTTTTTTTTTGTTTTTTGGATGAAGCTTGCTGGTTCAAATAAGTCGAATAGTCCATTTTATCAGCTTTAATTGCTTCTACAAGTTTTAAATATTTATACGTTAGAAAAAATGTTATTATTAAGTTTATTAATAAATGTTAATTAAAATTAAATTATTAATATATGTATTATATACAATATCTAATTTATAGAAGTAGCTTAATCTGCGTGCATTGATTGGAGTTTTTCTCAATGCTTTTATCACGTAATTTACTTTTTAAACCGTTAACACTGGGAAAATATTGAAAAGTGATGAGGTATTAAAATAAT